GAGATTGGCAAATGTCCTAAGACCACTCTCCCCTATGTTTCCAAACCAATTCGAATAGATTCTAAAGCTCTTTTCCACAAAAACGGAAAAACAACTCATTTTTTAAGGGGACAAAAGGAGGACAGGGAGATGGCTGAAGGCGAAGGGCACGTTCTGCTATTCGGAGAACTCAAGTTTGACTCTAGTGCCCACGTCCAGGACACATAACTGCCAAAGTTCCAGCTCCAGGGACATCCATGCCTCTGGCCTCCAGGGGCACTGGCACTCACATGCATATAATACCCAGACACACAAACATAATTAAAAACAAAATAAATCTTTAAGAAATCAAATGGGCAAAGAATCTGAACAGGCATTTCTCCAAGAAGACATTCAAATATCCAACAAGAACATCAAAGGAGGCTCTCAGCTCTCAGGCAAATGCAAATTTAAATCACAATATGATGCACACCCACTAGAATGGCTATTATTAAAGACAGATACTAATCACTGTTTGTGAAGATGTGGAGAAACTGAAACTCACATGTCAAATACCTGGCAGCCCCTCAAATGGTTAAATACAGAATAACATATAATTTAGCAAATATACTCTGAGGTAGATGTCCAAATATAAAAACACTTGGCCACAGGAAGACTTATATGCAATGTCCGTAGCAGTCTGTGCATAACAGCCAAAGGAGAAAACAAATGACATTCCATTCAAGGGTGGACAGGCAGACAGAATGCCGACTGCTCGCACACAGTAAGAAGTGCTAACTGGTTTCCAAGGTGGGGAACCTTGAAAACATGCGGAGGGTAAGAAAGAATACAAACCATCTAGGGACAGGACGTAGAGAAGAGGTCACCAGGCTGGAGGGAGAGGATGGTGGCAGGTGAGGCGGGGGTCAATGGAAAAGGCTTAACATTGTTTTTTTTTTGGCTGTTCCACGAACCCGAATACACTAAAAGCACTGGGACTGTAAATTAAAATGAGTGAATTGTACATATACAGCTCCAGTAAGACTTTAAAAGGGAGGCAGCCTGGGGCTGGAGAGGCTCGGTGGCTGAGAGTGCATATGACTCTCGCAGGGGACCCAAGCTCAGTTTCCAGCACCATGCCAGGCAGCACACAACTCTAGCTCTAAGGGATCTGACTCACTTTCTGGCCTCCATAGGCACATACACACATATTTAGATAATTAAAAACAGAAATAAGGGGGCTGGAGAGATGGATCAGTGGTTCAGTACACTTGTCACTCTTGGAAAGGGCATACGTTCGAGTCCCAGCATCCACGTAATGATTCACAGGCATCTACCTACAGCTCTAGTTCCTGGAGACCCAACAACCTCTTCTGAGCTGCTGGATACAAGCACACACATAATACATATACGCAGATAAAACACTCACACATAAAATGAAATGAATAAGTCTAATAGTAATCTAAAAATAAAAATAAAATCTTTCTTAAAGGATATAGCAAAAATCTATACAGTAAGTATGTTGTACATTTTCCTGGGTTTCCACTTTTGTTAATTTTTACTTTTATGTGTATGGGTGTGCTGCCTACATGTATGTCTATGTTCCACATGCGTGTCTGGTGCCTTCGGAGACCAGAACAGAGTGTTGGATTCCCTAGAACTGGAGTTATAGACAGTTGTGAGCCACCATGGGGGTGCTGAGAACCTGGGTCCTCTGCAAGAGCAACAAATGCTCTTAAGCACTGAGCCAACGCTTAAGCAGAGGTCCCCTGTCTACCTTAAAATCTCTCCCTCACCTATGCTCCCACCAAAGTCACATACCAGGTCTAGTGAAGAACACACAACTGTGCTTAAATACAGAGATGCCACCCAACAGTTTCTGTAAGACAATTTGTGGCTACTGCAAAAAGTCCATTTCTCATTTGACTTCTCAATTTAAACCAGAGATACTTTCCTAAATTAAATCTTCACTTCGGGTAAGTATCAAGAACTTGTGAAGACATTGGAGCACCAGACTGAAATCCCAAGGTCCAAATCAGGAGCAGAAGGAGAGAGAGCACGAGCAAGGAACTCAGGACCGCGAGGGGTGCACCCACACACTGAGACAATGGGGATGTTCTATAGGGAACTCACCAAGGCCAGCTGGCCTGGGTCTAAAAAGCATGAAATAAAACCGGACTCGCTGAACATAGCGGACAAGGAGGACTACTGAGAACTCAAAAACAATGGCACTGGGTTTTGATCCTACTGCACGTACTGGCTTTGTGGGAGCCTAGACAGTTTGGATGCTCACCTTACTAGACCTGGAAGGAGGCCCCACAGGGCAGGGAACCCTGATTGTTCTTTGGGCTGACAAGGGAGGGGGACTTAATTGGGGGAGGGGGAGGGAAATGGGAGGCGGTGGCAGGGAGGAGGCAGAAATCTTTAATAAATAAATAAAAATCTTTTTGAACTAAAAAAAAAAAAAAAAAAAAAGAACCTGTGAAGAAACTCAAGTCTCTGCCTGCCTGCTCCCAAAGCACTCTCCTGCCCACCATTGCTACTTAGGCAAAGGAGACTGACTATACTGAAGGATGCCAGGACCTTTCTGGGACGCTGGAGACACAGTGCTACATAGGATCAACGGACCAATAGCACTACAACTTACCAGCAGGTGTCACTCTCGAGCTCAAGCGCCAAACCACAAGGAAATAAAAACAAGAGCCACTAGCTGCCAAGAGGAAAGCAAGACAGGGTACAGGGAAAATGTCTTACAATGAGACTGAGTAGAAACTCCCTGCAAACATCCTCTCAAGTCATGTGATCCGGATTAACAGTTTATCTCTGTGACTTTCCTCTTGAGAACACCTCATTCTACTTCCGTGGTCTAAGTAAGAATGCCTTCAGACAAGTGTCCCCTGAAGAGTCTATGAAACACCTCACTAGAAAACCCCAAAACTGTCAAAAACCCAGAAAACTTGAGATACTGTCACAGCAAAAACAACCCATGAGATAAAACTGTCAAAAACCCAGAAAACTTGAGATACTGTCACAGCAAAAACAACCCATGAGATGTAACACGAGGGCCTGGTTGGTGACCTGGAAGGCAAGCACCTCACATTTGTGTAAAATATTGCAGCTGGGTACTGAACACTAAGAACCTGCTCTCCAATTTTCACAATAACCCTAAAACTGTTCTGAAATAAAAAGCATATGTTTCTTTTGTTTTATTTTGCCTTTTGTTTTTATTTCAGGAAAAAAACCACCACTACCTGCCCATTTGGCCAAGTCTATTTTAAGGACTTGTTCTGATGGCTCTAAAATGGCTGCTTCTTTCTCAGGCACATTCTTAAGAGACTGGATGGCAGCAAAGAAAAGCCACAGGCTTGAAAGAGGAGACAGGACTTGAGGTAACAAAAGAGAAGCCTGGGGGATGAGGGCCCCCTCACTTCTAGCCCAGTGCTAGCCACATGAATCACCTCAAAAGTCTAAAAAACAGTCAGTGCTCACAGCACACACCGTCTCACCCAACCATGGTGGGCAAAGGCCGGTGGAGGCTGTGGCAACAATGGGGAAGCTGAGCAGCCCCGGCCATTCACAAGGTCTTGCTGAATGACAAACTGGCCTCTGGAGATTTTTATGCTCCAAACTTCTCCTAAAGCCCCCAAAGAAAACGGGGACCAAATAGTAATCGTCTCAACTTAAAGGTGATGGTAAACCACTTAATACGTATGTTAACTACTCAATCTTTAAAGTTTTAGTTCTCAGCTGTTGAAAAGCAGGAAGCTGTGAGTGGCACATCCACACTATGCTGCAACAACACACAGAGGTAAGGGTTTCCTGTTCGTGCTGTAAATAAAAAGCTGTGCTAGTGAAGGAATGTGCTAGATTCCTGGCCCATCAGCCACAGTCAGCTTCACCTTCTTGGTAGGCAGCCAAACCTCAAGAGTAGTATCTGCCAAGGGGGAAAAACAGTTTTGGGGAGACTTACTCTGAAGCTTCAATCTTTTTGTTTTTGTTGTTGTTTGTTTTTCCAGACTACGGAATCCAAGATGGCCTTGAGCTCACAGTCATCCTCCTCCCTCCACCTCCTAAGCACTAGCACTACAGGTGTGAGCCAGAACACACAGCTATCAAACTTCAATCTTTTAAAGGGTTAGGATGTTCCCCTTTTAATAATTAAAAAAAGAAAATTGTCACAGTGTAAGTGAAAATCGGAGCCAGGCACAGTAGCTTTAGGCAGGCAGGAAGATTTAACTGAGGCAGGAGGATTGCCACAGGTTTGAGACCAACCTGGGCTAGACATTGAGTTCTGGGCCAACTAGAGCAATAAGGTAAGATCTTGTATTGGAAAAAATGAACTGTGAGCCTGGTGCTGTATGCCTGTAGTCCCAGATACTCAACAGGCTGATGCTGGCTGCCAGCCTGGGTTACTTAGTAAAACCCTGTCTCTGACAGTAAAAAAGAGGGCTAGGGTCCAGCTTAGTATAGAACAGAATCCTAGCAAGTACTTAGTCCTCAGTACCACATAAGAGAGAGGGGCATAGACATGGGGAGACAGAGAGACAGAGACCAGAGAGACAGCTCAGTTAGTAAGTGCTAGCTGCAGAGCTCATTGGCCAAGTTCAGTCCCTGGAATGATGTGAAGAGCAGGTGAATGTGAAGTTACACATCTGCAATCCCAGCGTTCCTTCAGCCGAGATGGGAGGGACCAGCTCCCGGGAGTATGTGAAGCAACAGAAACAAGAGCGACTGAACTTCAACAAGGCGGAAAGCAAGAACCAACTCCTGAAAGTTGTACTCTGCCTTCCAGTGTACACATGCACACACACACTAGTATGGGAAACCAGTAAAAATCTATTCCACCTTAGCTAAGAAACTAGCAAAGAGATCAGAAACCAAGACTGTGAGATACATGGCCTCTGTCCTACACACACTCTCGGTGGGTGGATTCAGATAAAATCAGAGTGAACCCATCATTGCAGAGGCAAAGAACTGAGCAACACCTCTACGGAGAGAATTCAGGAAAGGCGAGAAGCAAGCTGCAGCGACTTACTACCTACGGGAATGAGATGAGTGGGCTGTGATTCTTCCAGTTTGTTTCTCAACCAGTCAAAATCCTGGTATCTTCTTCGAACAGAATATTCTGGCAAGTCAAACTCCACCCGAGTACTCTGCAAGTAAGAAGAGAGAAGGGGGAAATGTGAGTGGGATTGCATTCTGGCGAAAAATACATTTTTAGAATACTCAAATCAGGCCAGGACGCACTTCCTTCCACCCATTCACCAGACAAAAGAAAGCGTTTCCTAGCAGGCTACAAAGTCAAGGAGCTAGGAAGGCCCGGCACAGTGGTGCACTCCTTTAATTCAGGCACTCAGGAGGCAGAGGCCGGCAGATCAAGGTCAGCCTGGAGCTAGAGTTATTTTCAGGACAGCCAAGGGTACACAGAGAAACTGTCTTACAAGACCAATAAGTGTGTGTGAGGGGGAGATAGACAAACAGAAAGGATGGAAACATCAGGTCTTTGGTTTGGATTTGATTCTTTTTTCCTACCCTCAGGAAATGGAACTCAGCAATTCTTCAGAATTGTCTACAACATTTGATTCATTTCCTCTAGCTTAACTCTGGGAGGGCTGTTGGTGAATAATACAATTTCAGATATTGCTGCTGAACTGAATCCAAGTCCATGAAAAGGAATGTTATCCCCACCTTCTGTGACATATGCTGACGAGCTTTGCTGAAGGCACAGGGGACATAACCGAGTAGAGACGACAGAAGACTCTTCCTATGGGAGGCAGAGCCTAAGACTTTTGCCAGCACTCAAGGTAGAGGCAAGGGAACCCTGTGAGTTCAAGGACATCGGGCCTACATAGACTCACTGTGCAGCTAGGGAGGCTACACAGTGAAACAGAACAAAAAAGAAAAAAAGAAAAAAAAAAGAAGGCTTTTGCTTCATTCTGCCAGAACAATGACCTTGAAAGCAAACTGTATTTTAGATCTAGATAGAAAACATCTAGAAAACAATGCCAGTGTGTTGCAGAAAATGTTGATGATCTATGAATTTTTAAAGTTTTCTAAAATGCAATCACATCCCTTTAATAATACACCAATGTTAAATAAAATTAAGTTACACCGAAATACATATTTTACTTTTTAACTGTTATTTCTTCTTAGATATACCATTCCTCTCTGGGTGGTTACCGCAGTTGCTGATCTCAAATATGAGATAAAGTACAAGATAAAAATTATCTATGTCACATTTTACAAATTTATTCTTTCAGACCCTAAGTCTGTTTTAATCGAAGACTTCTAAAAAATCTTTAAAATACCTAAGGAAGAGTTGTCCACCAAACAAGACTGTGAACAGCTTTTGGCTCTGAGATTATGATGTCATTCTCCCAAAAGCTGTCCTCTTGGCCTGAACTAGAAGGGGGGAGAGCTGGCCCTCAAGGACAGCATCAGCTCCTTATCCAGTCCGTCCCATTCTAAGTATCCACGAGACAGAACCTTCGCATGTCAAAGCATGCAGAGAGGGAAGACTTGGAGGAGACACATCACAAAGTTCCTGCTGAGTTATCAGGAGGCTTTCCAGAGGAAGTGGAACTATGGATGACCTCAGGCACAGCATGGCAGAATCCCACTGACAGGGCTATGCTGTGCTCTGTGGCCCCATGGGAGGGAGCACCCATGCCAGGTTCCTGAAATACATGGAGCCCTGTGTCTTATTTTCCCCAACATTACAAGCTTGGAGGGAGACACTTACAAGAACCCTCTCAATACCCAGACCCCAGAAGAACACCTGTCAGTAGTAATGAGGGAAACAGGCAACCAGGTCTCTCCCTCTCCCTTCCTAAACATTCCATGAACAAAGTGACCATGATTCTTGTGCTCATCAAATCAATTCCACAAACCACCATTTATGCAATATTCCTACTTTGTGAAATCAATACTTGGTAACTATAAAATGTAGGGGAATGCGTTACAGTGTAGTGTTGCAGAGATATCCTGACTTATCGGGAAGTCAGGCTACCCAGAGCTGCAATAGGGCAGCTCTGGAGGCTGGGGCTGCAATAGGACAGCTCAGTCCTGGAAGAAAGGTGTCCTGACTATTGGGAAGCCAAGCTACCTGAAGCTGGGGTGTGGTGGGGGATGGTCTCCTGCAGGATATAGGGATCCTGCTCTTCTGGAGAGTCGCTATAGCTGAGTTCTGCTCTGTTCCCTGAAGGGAACGTCCTAGCAGAGCTATCTGCTTCCTCTCCAGCCCAAGATGTTTCTTCTTTTGCTAACACTCTGCTAAAGCAGAAGCCCCTGCAGAAATGTAGCAATCTCCTCCATCTCTGAAAAGTTGTTACTTTTTCTGCCGGCCTTGCTCAGACTCCCTTCAGGAGCATCCTAGCAAGGTTTTTCTGTTCTGCTCCATCTTGCTGAGGCCCCCTAAGGAAGGGTCTCAGCAAGTTTTTTTTTTAGCTCGGTCCCCTAAGGGACATCCCAGCCAGGTTCTTCTAGTCTGTGCTGGTGAATGAAGGTGGTCACCCAAGACTCTTTTGAGAAAGGGATTTGTTTGGGAAGGAGGAGTCCGGGGGAGTGGCTGCCTCTGCCAGGGAAGGATTAAGGGCAGCTCTTAACTGAAGGGTCAGAGAGGCTTATATAGGTTTACCTTAGGGGTGGAGCTTTCCCAGGGAGAAGGAGGATTGGTTAGTTTTTCCCTGCTCGGGGATTGGTCAGTTTAGTTGGTCAGGGCAGAGATGGTTCTGACTTTGTGGCCAAACTGTGTTTCTTTCACTGGTCCTTTTTAGCGTATTTTTTACTCTAATCTTAGGACCAGGGTATATTTCTTTCACTGACTCTGGGTTCAGAGTCAGGGTGCTCAGTGATTGGTTGGTTTCCTGCTCCAGTTGTCCCTTTTACCCTACACAAAAGGCACAAGAAGTGGTGTTTTGCTTCAAACATTTCTGTATCTGGAGATTTGGCTCCACTCTTCTGTATGTTCAGGTTATATTTGCTTATTTTAAAAATATAAGAAAAATAATAAATGAATGAAAAATATAAAAATGGATCTAGTCCTCTAAATAGAAAACAAAATAATATTTAAATTTACAAACATACTTTTTCTATACATATTCATTCAGTTTCTGTATCATTTTAATACATCCTGGACACCTTTGTGTCCAGACCTTTAAAATCACTTAACGTATATAAGAGGACAATATTTAACTGAGTAACTATAACATAATTAATCCCTATTCAAATTGCTTCTGACTTTTAATCAATAAATAATATTACAGTAAACATCACTGGCCTTCTATCCCATTTATCCCACTAAAACAAATTCCTAAGGGCAGAACTGCTAGGGTGTGTGTGTTGTATATTTTTATTTCATTTTTGAGATAGGGTTTCACTGTGTAAACCTGGTTGGCTGACCTGGAACTCACTTTGTAGACTAGACTGGCCTTGGATCTACCTGTCTTTGCCTCCCTAATGCTGTGATTAAAGGTGTGCCCCCCTCTGACAGTATCTCCTAGTGTTCATCACTGCATATGCCAGCTTCTGGGGATCCTTCCTGCCTCAACTTCCACCTCACAATAGGAACACTGGGATTGCAGATGCACTGCCATGTCCAGTTTTATGTGAGTTCCAGGATTCAAATTCTGGTCTTTACCATGTGTGACAAACATTCTATCCAAGTCCTGTGGTGTATGGATGTTTTCCCTGCATGTATGTCTGTTCACCATTTATGTACCTGGTCCTAGAGGAGAACAAGAAATGGCATCAGATTCCCTGGAACTGGGGTTAGAGATGGTCATAAGCTGCCATGTGTGCAGAAAATTGAACCCATGTCTTCCTGAAGAACAGACAGAGCTCTTTAATCACTGAGCTATCTCTCCAGCCCCCTCAGAATGCTTGTGTTTTAAAGGTTCCACTAGGGACCACAGGGGATGTACTACTTGTCTGAAACAGCAGGGTAAATATCATCACAAAACAGAAAGGCTCATTTTTTTTTCAGCTCAGAATTTATTTGTTTTGAGCACAGCTTATTCTATGAAAGCCATACTAATACATAAAATACAATCAAATGACAAAAATTAGAAATAGGAGAGAAAGATACAGGAAAAACAAGGACAGGGAGCCTAGCACCCTGGAGGTAAGAGCGAGGCCAGCACAACAGACTTGCCACACAACACTGCAAAGCTGCTGAAAGTGGGCCACACACATGGCTGTGACTTTTGGAGAGGAGCTGGGAGAGCAGAATCAGGAATTCATAAAACATTTTGATCAACAAAACTCCGGGGACGAGTATAGTGAGTTTTCCTCTGTGAAATTCAGGGTTTCTAATCTCTAATATCAGTAAACAGAAAAGCAGGGAGACAGACAGACACACAAATTCCAATCATTAGAGAGAACCTCTACATCACCCTTCTGTCCTGTGTCTATAACCTACAGTGTCCATCAGAGTTCGCCCATCACTCCAGTCAGATGTGAGAAAGTAATTACGGCAGAGAAGCCTAGCACGGCTGCTCCATAGGACACCTCCGTGGTCATCTCTGGAGACATTGGCTAAAAACTCACAGCCTAAAACACCCAGCAGGACAGCCTGCACATGCCCTCGCAGATCTCCCACCAGACCTAGAAGGCACAGGGCTCTGGGAGCTCAATGTCCTATATAGGAGTAACTTTTATTCTACACATTATTTTAGGAGCACCCAAAGATTTTGAAGAGACTTTTTGAAAAGTTAAATGGTACAAAAGCAGTCTCCAATGGCAAAAGAACCCATGATGAGTTTATTGAAACACTAAATTAATTTAGCAACTGTTGACTTCACAAACTCAAAAGCTAAGATTATGCTCTGCTAACACCTGAGCATTTAGCAATATCAGGCAAAGAGCAACACACACTACAACAGGATCCCCAGCACTGTGAAGCAACCTCAACCTTCCCTGAATCACCAATCAATCTTAACACTCCCTGCATCACCAAGTAACCTCAGCCTTCCCTGCATCACCAAACAAATTCAATACTCCTGGCATCACCAAGGAACCACAACACTCACTGTATCTCCAACCTCAACACTCCCTGCTTCACCAGTTATTAAAAAGCTGCAGACAGCTTGAAAACATCTGGACCTCCCTTTGTTCCTGCCAGATGATCTTGTCACTCTGCCCTAGAGAAAACTTC